CAAAAGTGGTGCATGCCAACAGATTTTGGCGTTATCACGGTCCAGGACATTTCAGTTGGGACGAAGTGGAAAACAGAACAAATGACGCTGCTGAAGACGTGCCACCTGAAGAAACCACCATCGAAGAAGAAACTCTACTCAGTTTTGAGAAGGGAAACGGTGAAGCTCTTGGTGATGTGACTGTTACCGATGATGGGACATTTACTGATGAAGCGGATGAACCCCACATGAAGCGAAAGCCAATGAAACGGAGACCAGTACGGAAGAAGATACGTCCCGTAAAATTAAGAGACTTTGTTGAATTGTAATTTTGTGTTTGTAATTCTGTACATTTTAATTAAGTTATTGTTATTGGTTTATTGTATGTGGTTATTGTTCGTGACGAACAATACTATGGAGGGGGCAGTGTTGCGTCAGCGAGGTCATGTGATTAGGATCACACCACGTACTTCTAGAAATATCCTGTTCCTTCATGAATGCTCTAGCGTTTACTAGATATGTGTTAGTCTTGTATATATATAAGACGGTCACAACGTGACGGGACAGTGTGTGTGTAATTGAACTGAGTATTGTTGAGTCGAGCACGAGCACGTGAGACGTTCATAGAGAATTATAGTGTTTGTTATAGAGCGACTGTTGAAATTAAGTGTATCGTAAAGTTGTATTCGGAAAGAATAAACCAGTTTTATTTCAGAAAGGACTTGTGTCGCTAAAGTTTCGGCGGAAAGAATTTACGGAAAATTAACTAACGAACGGAGACGTAACGGAGGTAACGTACAGTCTGCTAGAGGAGGAGGTAACGTACAGTCTTCTAGAGGAGGAGGTAACGTACAGTCTTCTAGAGGAGGAGCTAACGTACAGTCTACTAGAAGAGGAGCTAACCTACAGTCTACTAGAAGAGGAGCTAACCTACAGTCTGCTAGAGGAGGACCTAACCATACAGTCTGCTAGAGGAGGAGCTAACTGAAAAATAGGATTACACTTCTTTCCACCTATGGTCAACAACGAACTCAAAAATTCAGCTCCATTATTTTCCTTCCAAATTTACTGTTTTGTTAAGTAGGTAAACTTCGATTCCAATACGACTTAAAGTTTTGAAAGTAGTCGAAGAGTTTAATTTATCATTCTCACTTACCTTTAAGTTTGAAATTTTCCACCGTATCCAAGATCACGTGACCCACCAAAGTTTCTCCAGCGTAATACATCTCCTTCTCTAGGCGGATATCAAATTCTCGGATGTAGTCCATATGGAACCGCCTCTACACGCAAGAATGAAATCAAACTGTAATAAACATTACAGGCACTTTCTTCCTCCAAGATTAATTGTTTGTAACTTTAACTTGAAAATAAATTAATTATTGCTACACAAGATATAAAGTTAATAATACCTTAAGATAATGTGCAGAAGTTCATTGTGATTCTTTTTTTATTCTAGGGATATTATCAATAAAATATTGGCCTCCGATGGCTCAGCAGTAAGTTTGAGGGTTTATAACAGCCTGCAGTAAATACAATGCTGATGGTTCCTTTGTGCTTACTACTAAAACAAACAATAAATGAAATAAATTGCTGAACATTTTCTGTTTAAAATACTACACGTCGTATATTGAATATTTACTAATCCATCTCCACTACTTTCATTTTACGTACTAGAAGTGTCGATAATTTTAAAAAATTGCCGGTGATGTGAGCTTGATACTGTGACAGCTTTCACTGCAGATTTCTGTGCCGATGTAAAGAAGTTATTGCGCCCCCCCCCTTCATTCTAAGAGACTGTGTTTTAACGTGAATTTTGTTTTTATTTAGAAATTTGCGGATATGCTAAAGATAACATTATGTTTAGAAAATTAAACTAGAATTTAGTCAATGTTTAATTTCTAGAATGAAAATGTACCGGATCCCTTTTGACGGGAAGTCTGGGTAACTTGAGTTCTGAAAGATAATAAATTAGATGTTATTGAGGCTACTATATTGGATGGGTTTGTAGAGGAAGTAATGTACTTGACTATGTCAGTCAAATATGACTTCGCAATGTAATCCAAGCAGTGTTAAAATTAATCAAAGTTTTTAATTAATATCTTAAAAAATCCGAAATAGGTTTCCAATCTCAGGCCCAGAGACATCCGGCAGGAATTAACCAACTCTTCTGATGAGTCATTTTGGGTTTTTATAATATCATCGTTATTTAGTGGCAGGAAATACAGACGGCAAAATGAATAAACAAATAACGGATATTTAATTGGAATATATCATACAAATATTTTCACGATTATAACAAATTTCTAAACTTTTTTGTATTTATAATCATACACGTCCATGTGTAATAATTCTGTCGGTAGCACTCGCATTTTACTTATTGTCAGCGAGTTATAATTACAGGTGATGTGTACATGACACATGCTTGTTATCCCTACTGTACGATACCTCACATCACGACCCGTGCACGAGCAAATAAGCTGATCTCACGCACTCTAATAGTTGATATTCTCTTTCTTCTCTTCCCATTACGCAGATTAAGTCAGACAATCTATATGAAACCTGTTATTTACGTTATGCGCCAAGTACTGAACTCTGATCTCCTCACAGGGATAAATATTATTTGAAGAAATAATAATTTTGATAACTACACATGAAAATGGCATATTTCAAAAAGTTTTAGCTGCTCAATAGCAAGCGATAAGTTTTCGGACTTACAGTACTAAAATCCGGGGTTCGAGTACCGGTGGTGGACAGAGCGCAGATAGTTAATTGCGCAGCTTTGCGCCAAATGAAAGAAAAAATATACGCAGCTGTTCATTAAAGCCACTTCAGGGTGTTGTCTAACAGTTTAAAAATTATTCTGAGCGTCATCTGTCGGGCATTTCAACTTATAATCTTTTAATTAAAAAAAAGAAATAAACAAATATACGAATTAGTTAGTTCTATAGCTGGGTGATAATCATGTTATAAGCATGAAATGTGTCGTGTGCAATTAACTGTACACGCAATGCATTTTATGGCTTATGTAAAAAGAAAAAACGATGTCGCATTTTAAAGTAAATCACGTTCTGCAACGTCAACTCTGCTGCACTGTAACTTCGTTACTAATAGAAACGTTTAAGTGTTGCTTAGAGAGTAATTTTACTATCTGATAGATTCTCTCCGTTTGTGAATTTTTGGTAAACAAGTCATGCCTTTGCTCACCTACGTCCTAATGCGTTAATTCTAAAGCGGTCGGAAAAAGTAATTCATATTGTTGCGTCAGCGAGGTCACGTGACTAGTATCACGCCACCTGTTTT